CCGAACGTTCGACACAGGACAAAATAGAAACCGCGCACGACAAAATAGAAATCGCGCGCGAGACACAAACGACCGCGTAACACGCGTCTAGCGATAACTCGCTATTGACTCGACACACACACTCGACATCATGACTCAACATTCACACACAGTTATAAGCATGAAATATATATTATCCCATGCCCTCATACCATTCCATACACACACACATGCACGCACACGGACAACAAGCCGAGTGCAAACCATAGGGTTGCACCAACAAGGGTTACCACCAAAATTCAATCACTTTCGAAGTTTAGTGCACATGCTCTAAGGGTGTTTCACATCGGGTGGTAACCAGCTGTTTGGACTCCCGAATTCTGGAGGTTAAAGCCCGAGTCCAGGGCTGATTTTTTCAGGGTAATTACCCTGATTTCAGGGTGATTTCAGGCTTTCCACTTTGTGGAGACTGAAATTTCAGAGTTCTCAATCCCGATCCAATCAGAGTAATAGTTTAGCTATCCCTGATTTTGAGTACAGTATATTAGACTAGCCTGTTAGTGGACCCTGACTTAACAGCGTATCGACTCTGTGGTCCCTGAGGCCCTGTTCGGTGGCCCTCCGAGTCACATTGCGGTTGGTGCGTGGGATCTTCTGTTTCCTAAATTCAAATCGATTAAAGCCCAACAAACCGTTATTAGAACACCGAGCCTGTCCAGTGCAACTGGGCTACCGAACGCAGAAAACCCCACTTCAACTGCGTGCTAGGACACTACCACGAAACTGTCGCGCCCAGGAAAACTCGACAGTCAGTGGAAGTCCCTACCATTTCAGCTTTCCAGTTCAACCCAGGCAGGCCCGCTCAGAGTGGCAGGCTGGAGGGTATACGCTGCACTAGTTTTGAATCAGGTCAAATTAAGGTTTTTTAGCACGCTCTTTCAAACGTGCCCGTTCTTGATTTTCATTATCCATATCGACCGTTTTTCATTTGGCGGACTGATTTTTTGTTTGTGGATGGGGCAGCCTCGTACAGCAGTAAAAGTTTCGGCAAGTAATTTCTCAAGAAACGCACGGTAACTTCTTGCATTTGGGAACGAGACTTCATTTCAGTGTGAGTGGACGCCCGAGGCTTCGAAAGATGTCGTAGGCTTCCCCAGTTCGAGTGGGCCCAGTGTGACTAAAAGGCTACCGAACACGGCCTGAATTTGACCTTATCGAGAAGAAGTTTCTCAAAACCTTCCTTCTAATAACCCCGCCTTCGAATTGATCGCAGTGATCCCCCCGCATGTACATAATCTCCCCCCCCCCCCCAACCCACCCCCCTGTTATGGGCGCACTGACCCGCTACTGAAACAAGCCCTTTTATCCCAATGGTCTAGTGGTTGGGATTCTGACATGGTATCAGAACGGTCTCGGGTTCGAATCCCGGTGTATGCACATGTTGGCCGTTGCCACTGTGCTCAGTCCTGGGCCTCCCAGTGTGGGGGGGTGTCAGTAGAGCTACACTGTGAGATCCCCGATCGATCCTAGGGGGGGTTACAGGCGCGGTTGCCTGGGGGGTTATGGGCGCACTGACCCGCTACTGAAACAAGCCCTTTTATCCCAATGGTCTAGTGGTTGGGATTCTGACACCCCCCTCCCCCCCCCCCCGGCTTCATCGAGATGAATTTTCTTCGAAACTTCTTTCTGATACACCGCCAGAGAGATCGGGCGAATATGCAATGTCATATATATTTTGTTGTGATTGGTCGAAATAGTTGTGCTGTGACAGCGGAAATCTGTGACTCGAACAGGTTTTACTCGCCCGTTCGTTCGAGCCTTTGTCCGCGACACGTTTGCGGACAAGCTCTCCTCTCGCGCCGTTCCCTGTGACTTCCTTGGCTTTGTCCCTTACGCGCCTGGCTGGCAGTTTTACTACCCCACCTCGCGCCGTGTCCTGCCCTCTCAGGACGTCATGTTTGACAAGTTGGTTCCCTCTTACTGTCTCTTCCCCTAATGCACTGCCCCTCTCCCTCCCCTGCCGCTCTTCCTCGTACAAGGTCCTCCTCCGGTAAACCCACTCCCCCCTCAAGGTCCTACTCCCTCAAGTGTGTCCCAGGTAGACCATGTCGAGCCTGTCGAGGTCGCTGTCGACTTTGGTGCTGCTAGAGGTGTTGCGTCTGGGGGTGCTGAGCCTGCGAGTGCGGGGCCTGAGGGTGCTGAGCTTGAGTGTTGGCCTGAGAGGCCATGTAAAGAAGACGAAGCTGACCACGCTGTTGCAACTCTCGAGCAAGGAAGTAGCGCAGAGCGATGTGCTTCGTTCTGTGCTCCAGTATGTGCTCCTGACACAAGGCAATCATGGCCTTGTTGTCGACGTACAAAACTGGAGGAGAATGAGGCGGCTCTCCCAAGTCAGTCAGCAGGTATTTGAGCCAGCGTAACTCCTGTGCAGCCATGGCCCCTGCGTAGATCTCAGCCTCACAAGTGGAACTGAGAACAGAAAACGAGTAAGTAGACCGCCACGAAACAGAACCAAAGCCAAGGCTGAAGGTGTAACCCTGTGACGACCGCTGCATAGCCAAGTCGTCAACCCAAGAAGCGTCTGCATGACCAGTGAGGACAACTCGAGCCCGTCCTCCAAGCACAAGCCCCATGCCCGACGTACTGCACAAGTAGCGCATCACCCTCTTAGCGGCCTTCCAGTGCTCTGGTCGGTGTCTCCCGGGCGCAACGTAGCGTGCCAGGATGCTAAGAGGGTAAGCAAGGTCAGGACGAGTGCAGGTCATCAAGTATATGAGGCAGCCCGCAAGCTCTCGATACAGGCCACTCGGCTCTACGGACTCATCCGAAGGCAGAGCTGAGAGCGAGTGACCGGTAGGCAGAGGAGTGGCCTGTGGCGAGGAAAACTGGAAGTCGAAGCGCTGAAGGACCTGCTGCACCATGTGTGACTGAGTCAATGTAATGATTCGCTGTGCTCTGTCCCGCATGATCTGCAAGCCAAGATAGCTGCGCAGCTCACCGAGGTCTGTGCACGTGTGTCTCTTCTGCAGCTCCGACTTCACGTGGGCCAATCCAGCAGTATCAGCAGTGGCAAAGACCAAGTCGTCAACGTACACGAGGATGTAGAACGGCGGCAATGAAGTGTCAGTGCGCAGAAACAGTGACAGGTTAGCAGTCGAAGCGGAAAACCCAAGAGCCGCAAGCGTCGTCTTCAGTGTGTCGTGCCACTCGCGAGGCGCCTGGCGGAGACCGTAGACTGGCCGCCGGAGGCTCCACTGGGTACCTGCAGGGAACGACCCAGTGAAGCCCGGTGGGCGGCGCAGCCAGATCGCCTCGTGCAGGCTGCCCTGTAGGAAAGCAGTGTTGAAGTCAAGAGAGTGAAGCTCGTTGCTACGCTGAGCGGCGACATGTAGTAGAACCCGAAGAGTGGTCATCTTCGGGGTAGGGGAGAAGGTTTGGAAGAAGTGAACTCCCTGTCGCTGACTGAAGCCTCCTGCAACGTAACGCGCCTTGAAGACACGCGGAGAACCCGGCGGCCGCTTCACCCTGAAAATCCACCTGTCGCTGATGATGTTCGCCCCAGGTGGGGGAACCTCGTCAACGTAAGTGCATGTGGACTTCCAGGATCCCATCTCTGCGTCCATGGCTGTCTGCCATTGAGAGGAGTAGGAACCCTCTATCGCCTGTGCGTAAGACTGCCGGGTCGGGATGTCTGGTGCATCTGGGTCTCGCTCAGGTGTAATCAGCATGGACACGAGATGAGGCACAGCAGCTGCAAAGCATTCAAAGTCCTCCTTCCTGTCATCAAGGACGTCCGTGCCAAGAGCACACTCACCCCCGACGGACGGAGGACAGATAGACTCAGACTCAGCAACAAGACTAGCGGCGTAGTCAAGGCGACAGGCGGCAGCAAAGTCAACAAGCTCAGCAACTAGGGCAAACGTAGCAGTGGACTCAAACGAAGGGTCAATGACAACAGTGGCCAGGAGACGCATAACAGTAGGACTAGAATGACGAAGGGAGTCAGACTCCGGGTCCGGACCGTCAGCAAGGGAGGACGCAGGAAGAGAAGGCAGAGGGACACGCAGTGGAGTAGAGGAAGGACGAAGTGTCATCTGGTGCGTGCTGGGGACAGGAGGAGGACGCTGACGCGGAACACGACGACCAGTGCGAACAGTGCGAACAGGCGATGCAGGACGAGACGCAGGCTCACGATGCTCGATAAGACCGTCGGGCTGCTCAGTGTAAGGAGAAGGAGTCGGCAGTGGAGAGGCTGGCAGTAGCTGTGGCTGTGACTGGTCAGGCGGTGGACATAGTAAGAGAGGAGTAAGGTCAGTAGAAGGCGGGAGACAAAGAACCTTCTGAAGCAGTGGAACGAAGTACGGTCGCGGCCGCACAGCGCCTCCAGACCTAGATCCGACAGCACCAGTACCCAAAGGGCCAGCACCTCTAGCTCCAGGGCCTCCAGCAGCTCCAACGCCTCCAGCAGCTCCAGCTCCAGCAGCACCCCCAGCTCCAGCAGCTCCAGCACCTCCAGGAGCTCCAGCTCCAGCAGCACCTCTAGTACCTCCAGTACGAACACCTCCAGAACCAGCAGCTCCACCACCTCCAGCAGCTCCACCTCCAGCAGCACCTCCAGCTCCAGTAGCTCCAGTACCTCTAGTATGAGCACCTCCGGGACTAGCGGCTCCAGCACCTCCAGCAGCTCTAGCTCCAGCAGCTCCAGCTCCAGCAGCACCACTCCGGAGGCTCCAGTGCCGAGCAAACCACTCGCACAGCTGCAGTGGAGAGAGAGACTCCCACCATGACAAGACACCCGAAGGACTTCCAGGCTCAGCACACTCGGGCTCAGCACCCCCCGGCTCAGCACCTCTAGGCTCCGCACGCTTAGGCTCAGCACCCCCAAGGCCCTGCACCCGCAGGCTCAGCACCCCCAGACGCAACACCTTTTTCAGCACCAGAGTCGACAGCGACCTCGACAGGCTCGACAGGGTCTACTTGGGACACACCTGAGGGAGCAGGACCCTGAGGGGGGAGAAGGTCTACCGGGTGGGAGGGGAGGCAGAGACTTGGGAAGGCAGAGACAAGGAGACGGGAGTGCATGCCACGGAGGCGTGCCACAGAGGGGTGACCAAGGCGGTGGTGCCAAAGGAGCATCTGGTGCGACAGGGCGCGACACGAGCAGGGGGCCGCACGCTGACCTGACGCAGACGCAGCTACCTGAGGAGGCGTAGTAGTCAGTGTGTACAGACTCGACCCTAGCCGACGGGTGAACGTGGCCAGGTGCCTGCGAGTCCGGGAGCACGTATAGATCGCCACACGCTGTCCTCCAGGGGTGAAGGTATCGACCCACTGATCCTGAAGGAATGCGTTGCTCACCAAGATTGTGGAGAACGAGGGGAGGTGGAGACTTGACAGTGAGCCAGACGGAACCGCTGGACAAGGCAGAACAGTGGATGAACGTGCAAGGACTGGGCCCCCAGAGGGGTCAGCCAGAGAGACAGCAACAGGTGCAGAGAGTGGTGTGACTGTGGTACTGTCGCGAAAGAAACAGCGGGAAGCACCTGAGTCAAGCGTGAAGGTGTGCAAGGCCGAAGCAGACGCAGTACCAGAGAAAGAAGACTCACCACCACCTAGAGTAGCAGACTCACTAGCACCTAGAGCAGCAGCCTCTATATCTGGGTCTGGCGGCATACACAGGTAACAATTACCCTCTGCAGTGACAGTCAAAGCATACATGGCAGATAGTATAGCATCATAATCAAGAGCAAAGATGTCTACACCATGCTTAAGCAGCTCTGCCCAACGGGGGAGCTCTGCCGTGTCTGGAAACTCTGTGCGGAAGGCATCGTTAAGATGAGAGAAGCAGCGGTACTGGGTGTGGAGCTTCGCACATGTCTGACCAGTGCGGTCACCTGTGCGAATGACATACGGGCAGGGACCACTACCCCCAGCCGCCCCACGCTGAGCAAACCACTTACGTAGCTCCTGCGGCGAAAGCTGCCGCTACTGCTGCCTCTGACCACCACCCAGCCTCCCCTCTGACTCGTACCATCCCGGCCGTCACCACTGCCACCGCCTCCACTCCCACTGCCGCCACCACTGCCGCCGCCTCCACTCCCACTGCCGCCACCACTGCCGCCACCTACACCTCCACCCCCACCACCACTCCCTCCGCCACCGCCGCCCCCTCCACCGCCTCCACCGCCCCCACCACCGCCTCCACCTCTGCCGCCCCCAACGCCCCTACTTCCCTTGCCCCTGCCGTTGCGGTGCCTCTCACTAGGGGCAGACGCAGCTCCTACCTCCTCAGCACGAAGGTAGTCAACAGCTGCAGCAGAGGTGACTGAGGGGAGAAGGGGGGAGGGCGAACACCCCTCAAAGAAGGGGGTGCGAGGAGTGCCACGAGAAGCGCCTACAGCGACTATGCTAGTCTCAGCTGCAAGGAGGTGCTTCTCGAGTAGGTCGACAATGAGGGTGGTGGGGTCAACGGCTAGAAGGAGGTCCCTGACAGCGCTAAGAGAGTCAGGGAGGCGGGTGACTATAAAGTAGAGAGTGATGTACATGGGAGGAGGGTTCTTGGTGAGAAACTCGGCGGGAAGCGCAGCGCGATAGCGAGTGTCACTAGTACGAAGGTGAGTGACGAGGTCGGCTACTGTGGTAAAGGTGGACAGCTCTGGGAACAGGTAGGGCAGGAGAAGGCGGCCTAGAGCAGCAGTGGCCGGGGAGGAGTAACGAGCGACTACAGCGTCATACAGTGCTTTCGCAGTCTTATGCTGTCCGAAATGAGCGCGTTCGGCTAACGGCACGTGGTTGCGAACGGCTAAGCGAGCAGCAGCATCACGAGTAAGCCACTGTGAGCGACTCGTACTGTCAGCTGTGGCGGCAGGGGCGAGAGAGACGCCAGACGTGAGGTCAAACACTGAAACTCCATCCTTGGAATCGCTCAGTAAGAACAGCTGTAGGTCATCGAGCCACGCATCGAACTCTATCGGGCGGCCCTCCGGATCGAACGTGAGGACACTGAGCGTGGCCGTAGTGGGCAGAGCGGTCGGGCGCGCTAGTAGGAGAGCAGCACACAGGCAGGGAAAAGCAGGGCGGAGGCCAGCAAGGCGACTCTCAGAGCAGTAGCGCGGAGTAGGGCAGGGCGGCAGTAAGTAGGACAGGGTGGCGCGGCTGTTAGCGGCGCTCAGGCAGGGCGGTGCGGCCAGCACGGGCAGGGCAGCGTGGCCAGCAGGGCAGTGCAGGGCGGCGCTCGGTAGGGCAGGGCGGCGCGGGCCAGCAGTGCAGGGCAGTGCAGGCCAGTAGTGCAGTAGGGACAACGGGCCGGCGAGATGTAGGGCCAGTGCAAGTGGACGTGCGGCAGTGTTGTTCAGGATCCGTCACTTTGAGAACTTACGACGAACTCATTACTCAATTAAACGCAAATCCGCTCGGTAGGATTGTGCGCCTTAGGCTTAGCTACCATCTCCACGTTGAATCAGTCGTTAAGATGGTCTAGAGAGTGAGAACCATGTAAAAACGTCCAGCAGCCGCATGACTAGAATGGTAGGGGAAGTACAAGCATGTAGGCATAGAAAGTTGGAGTTGGGAACCTCCAAGAGAACCATGAGAGAGAAGGGGTTCTCCAAGAGCTAGGGAAGGATGGTAGGAACCTTCCTAGCAGCAAGGATGCAACCCTCATCATGAGGTCCTTGAGGTGTCACATGCAAAATCCATCTAGTTGGATTTTGCCTAGGTGTTGCAACATTTGCAACCCATGCTAGAAACTTCTAGCCACCCCAATCCAAAAGTCAAAGTTGCCTTCCCTAACCACCCAACCAAAGATCCCTTTATAGTCATGTCCCAAGTAATCACCCAAATTAGATATAACCCCAAAAGGTAATAAGAAATCCAAGTCTTGGAAATCTTGTAACTTGGGCGATCTTGGTCGGAATAAGGCGATCTTGGTATCGTTGGAAAGCTCTGGATTTCTCCTGCATGATCAAGCATTTAGACTTGGAGAAAAAACACAGAGATGACAATATCCAACAGCCATGCATAATGACATATGCACATGCAAATCATGCAAGCACAAATAGCACGAGCACTCGGCAGGACGTTAGGATGACATGCACTCAGAATGACGTGCATCCAACAAACTCCCCCTCAGACTAACGGACTGCATGCACATATACTCACACAAATGCTAACTCTCATGCACACAATCACACATGCACTCATGACACTGCTGCCCACACTAGTGCAATGCCATGCCACACATCTTAGCACACTTCCAATGTGCGCTCTCGGGAAGTCTCTTGGTGAGAAAATCTGCCGCCTGCTTGCTAGCCTTCACATGGTGAAGCTCAACAATCCCCTCCTTCACCATCTGCCTCACCCAATGCCACTTAATCTTCATGTGCTTGTTCAGCCCATTGAGGATAGGATTATTTGCCATGCCAATAGCAGCCTCGCTGTCAGAGAAAAGTGGTGTAGGTCCCTCCTGTTCTGCTCCCATGTCCTCGAGCAGCTTCCTCAGGAGCACGATCTCCTTGATGGCATGGTACATCGCCATGTACTCTGCCTCTCCGGAAGACTGAGCTATCTCACTCTGCTTCTTGGACCTCTAGCTCACTGGTCCACCTCCAACCATGCACACAAAGCCGCCAACCGATGACTGATCCTCATCCTCTGAGGCCCATGTGGCGTCGGTGAAGCACGACAGCTTCAAGGTTCCAGGCGTGACCCCATCTGCTCCAATCTGTTTCAGCTGGCCGCCAGCTGAAAACTGAACACCAGCAGATGCCGTTGATCCGAGGTAGCGCACCAAGCGCTTTGCCACCTCCAACTGCTCCTCAGTGGGCCGTTGCACAACTCTGGCCAGCTGCCCCACTCCGAATGAAGCATCAGGTCGCGTATGCACAGCTGCATACATCACACTCCCAATGAGTGACTGGTACTCATTCTGCTGCTCATCCTCGAGTACATCATCCTCCTCAGCTGCCTTCTTCAGTTTGAAGCCCGCAGGGAACGGTGTCATGACAGTGCGACCCCCAGTCACACCATAGCGCTCCATGACACCAGAGATGTAGTGTGACTAATGCACCTTCAGCCACCTCCTCTCAACATCCTTCTTAATCTGCAGCCCCAAGTAGTAATGGACATCCCCCAGCATCTTGCACTTGAAGTTGTCCATCAGCAGCTTCTGTGTCCTCTCAATCTGCTCCATGGAGGGTGAGAACAGCAGTATGTCATCGACATACACCAGCAGCAAGAGCAGCTGCTCCCCCTCTCCAAGCAGAAACAAACTGTGATCCGCCTGGGATGTCTTGAAGCCTCCACTCAGCAGCACCTCCTCCAGCTTCTCGTACCAACACCTGGGCGCTTGCTTAAGGCCATAGATGGCCTTCTTAAGCTTACACACCCGGCTGGTCCCATCCTCATAGCCGTCGGGCTGCGCCATGTAGATATCCTCCAGCAGTATTCCATTGAGGAACGCAATGGTGATATCCATCTGCTTCACGTGCCATCCCTTCACAGCTGCGCCAGCCATCAAAGTCCTCAGTGTTACTGGCTTAGCAACGGGAGCGAAGATCTCTCCAAAGTCGACCTTCTCTTTCTGCTGAAACCCCTTGGCGACCAAGCGGCTCTTGAACCGCTCCAACGCACCATCAGCTCCACTCTTCACCTTGAAGACCCATTTGCTGCTGATCGGCCGTCGCCCCTCGGGTAACTCAACAAGCTCCCAAGTCCCATTCTCAATGAGACTGTTGAACTCCGCATCTATGGCAGCCTTCCATTCCTCCTTCTGGAGTCCACTCAGTGCCTCCTCCATTGTGGCTGGTTCTCCAGGCAAGGGTGTGAAGAAATAGAACGCCATCTCCTCATCCTCTCCCTCATACGCCTGAACCGCCATGGCACCTTTCTTGGGTCCTCCCAAACGGCTATACTTCAGCCTTGAGGGTGCTGCTGCCACTCTCTTCTCGCGGGTTGCAATCTGCTGCCCATGTGGTGAAGCTCCTCTCTGCACACTCCTCTTGGTGACCTTGGCGTTTGTTGCAGGCTCGGGCTGAGATGGTGAGTCCACACGTGCCGACTCATCCTCCGACCCCTCCTCCGCAGCAGGAGCAGAAACTTGCTGCTCACCACCGCCACTGTGGTCACTGGTCAGCTCTGACCCAGGGAGATCCTCAAGGTGCAGCTGAACCTCCTCCACTGCAGACCGCTCAATCTCCTGCAAACGCAAGCCAATCTGCACCTGCTGCTGCTGCTGCCAATCCTTGTACATGACGTCCTCCACAAACTTGACGTCACGACTGACAAGCGTCCTCTTGCTCTTGGGGTCCCACATCAGCCACACCTTCGAGTCAGGAGCCATCCCAAGATGGACAGCCCACACAGCAGCAACTTCCAGCTTGTGCCTCTGCTCCTTAGGCACCATCACAAGCCCCATGCAGCCCCATACCCGCAGCATGTCAATGGATGGCTTCTTCCCAAGCCAACGCTCGTACGGCACCCAATGCTTGTCGCCAACATGAGTCAAGACCCTGTTCTTGACCGTGATGACATGGCGAACGGCATCAGGCCAGAACTTGTAGGGCATCCCAGCAGCCCCCAACAAGGTCTTAGCCGCCTCGCCAATGGTTCGGTTGGCACGCTCAGCAATGCCGTTCTGCTGCGGTGTTCCAGGGCAGGTCAGCTGATGCCGGATGCCATTTCTCCTGAGGAACTTGGTGAATTCCGCTCCAAGGAACTCTCCACCTCGGTCGCTCCTCAGCACCTTCACCAGCCGCATCGCTTGCCGCTCCACCATCGGCAACCAATCCTCCTTGATCGCCGCTGCAGCATCGCTCTTCTTGGACAAGGGATGCGCCTACGTGAAACGGCTCCATTCGTCCACCATGGTAAGGAAGTACAGCACTCCCTCAGTCCCCTCAGTCCTCATAGGACCCACCAGGTCCATGTGCACCACCTCCAGCGGCGCCTTCGTTGATCCCTCCGCACGTGGAAACGGGAACCGCGCAAACTTGTTTTGCATACACGCCTCGCAGCTGCCATAGTGAGCGCCATCTCCTTGCAGTTGCAGCCCATGCACGCACTTCTCCTTATGCATCACCTCCAGTGTTGAAACAGCCACGTGTGCGAGCCGCCGATGCCAAGTCTCCCAATCCGCTTGGCTCGAGGTAGCCGACGCCTTCACCGCCGCGCTTCCTCCAATCAGCTCCTCTCCTTGCACACCTTGCTGCTCCTCCTCGGTGACACTCTCCTCCATAGATGCCGCCGCTGCCGCCTTGCCCGATTTCCGCCAAGGGAGGACCGGGATCTGCCACATCCGCTTGTGGACATCTCCCTTCCACTGCAGGTCCCAAATGAGGCGCTCATCGTTGTAAGCACGATAGCGCTCCGAGCCAATCGTCTCGGTGTACACACCCGCATCTCCCAACCGGCCGGTAGAAATCAGGTTCGCGCACAGTCTGGCACCCACAGCACATTTTTCAGCCCCACGAGCTCTCCATCCGCTCCCATGAACTTGGCGCATCCCATGCCCATGACCTTGGCCTTGGCGCCCGTCGCGGATGTGACTGTAGAGATGGGTGCGGGCTGAATCTCATCAAGTAGGTCCGCACGGGGAGTCATGTGCCAAGAGCTCCCGGAGTCAATCACCCAATGGGTGAGGGGGTGTAGGAGAACCTTGGCAGCCATAGCGTGGTCGGTTGCGCCTTCGTTCACAAAGAAGAAGAACCCGGCCTTCCGCTCCTCAGATTTGCCGCCTTTCTCCTCCTCCTTCTCCTCACCACTAGCTCCCATGACTCCCCCACTCCTCTTGCCACCATGCAGGTTGCTCGATGAAGGCGGGGTCCAATCCTTGGGTCGTTGGTAGCACTTCCGCCAACGATGTCCGCGCTTCTTGCAGTAGAAGCACACCTCCCATTGACCCCCGCCGCCATCCTCCTTAGGGTTGTCCTTGTTTTTGCCCTTCCACTTCTTCTTGAAGCCACTCTTTCCACCTCCAACTCCATAGCCAGCCCTCTCCTCCGAGCGCTCCACACTCCGCCGCCGCAAGTCCTCCTCTAGGATGTGCGCGCGAATGTAATCCACGCTCCATTGGGGTTGTTGGGAGTTGAGGTTGATCGCTAGGGGAGACCACGACTCCGGCAGCCGTATCACGATCTCCACGCATTGCACGAGCTCTGGGTACACCACACCGCCTCCTTGGAGCTTCGTGAAGATGTCGCGCATCTCATCCAACACCGGTTGCATCGGCTCTCCATCAACGAACTTGATGTCGCGCAGCCGCCGCGCGAGTAGCACGATGCCGGTAGCATGTGTCGGTGAGTGCACATCCAGAAGCTTCCTCCAAGCCTTGGGGCCACACTCTGGATCACCCAAGAGGTCCTTGATGTGGTCAAGTTGTCGCCCGCCAACCGCTTGCACCATTAGCATGTACGCGTCGAACGATCGCTTCATCCACGCTCCTTTCAGCTCCGCGGCCTCCGGCATCTTCTCCTTCCCCTCCACCAGATCCAATAGCTTGTATTGGGTATACATCAGCCTCATGCGGAAGCTCCAGTGCTCATAGTCCTCCCCCATGAATTTCTCAATAGAGAACGCCTTCACGGGATCCACGGTTGTTGGAGATGGTGTAGTAGACGTAGGTAGCGTTAGGCTGGCTGGTTGGTGAGTCCCCACTCCTCCACTAGCAAC